ACTGCCCTGAAGACCACCATAAGCCACCAGATAAATCTTGCGTCATGGTTCTATATTCTGCCTTGGTATCTCTCATTTTGCGTTACCTCAAAATCCATTAACAGATTTCGCTAATCTTATTTCATCCATGTGCCTTATCTCACATCTTATGCTGCAATATGAATGTTCCTTACTTTTTTCCTTTTTCCCAGAATAGCATGCGTGGGCTCTTTTAAAGCATTCTTCCATCTTCTGGGTAGAGAGACTTTGAAAAAGGGAGGGAGAAATCATTGGATATGAAGCGCAGATACTAAGAAGCAGACTTTATTCTCTAAATGAATGGCTTTATTCATGGCAAGAGAAATTAGCACGACGTATATTTCAACAGCTGCAAAAGAATCAACATCAGCATGTCTTTATCTTCTCGGAAGGTAAGCGAGGAGCCATGGTAAGCGGAGAGCGAACCGTCTGTGAGCCAGTTAGTATTCGACAAAGCACAGGACCGGAATCAAAGGCTTCCCAGTGACTTCGTGCTACAAAGGTAAGAGTTTTAACTGAAATCAAAGCGCATATTAGAATAAATCAGGAGACACGTTACGTATTCACAACTGACAAAAGAAATAACAAATCGCGTTTCATTTATACAGACCATATTTCATTAAGCGAAGAAATAAGTTAAAATTAATGCTCATGCATTTTTAACTTTGTGGAATATATCATCTTAATTTAATATCCCATTCGTGTACTTTAGTTTGCTGTGTGTCCGTCCTCCAAATAATCTCGTAACCAATTCAAAGAATTGCATGACATGATCAGAACATGTCACTAGGGGCTACCATTACTGTTATTATTAACACTATCACCGTGGTCATGCAAACTTTTGAGGTGCAGTTAACATTGAGTTTAGGGTCCTGGAGTTCTGTATGGTCAGTAAACCTCCAAAAAGAATGAAGTTACTGGTAATGAAAATGTTGAATGCAGAACAAAGTGGTGGATTTTTCTTACCCACTACGCACGAACAGCGGTAATTAGGAGTCTTACCCCTGATCAATATAGGGCACAGGTTCCCAACCCGCGATCTGCTGATGTGTTTTGCAAGACCTATCTAAATTTTTAAAATATTTCAAGTTTTAATTCTGTTTATGCCTGAAACAAAATTTGATTTCACATAAATAATAAATTTATCTGAGAGAAAACTGAAAAAAATATTAACTTGTTTATGACAGTTTAGTTCATAAACAGATTACTCTGTCATAACAAATCTTTTTTACAGAACCCAATAATTCATAAACATATTCAAAACAGCCTATCAACAGTACATATCCTGAAACCACCATCGTATTATTTCTGTGAGAACCATTTTAATATTATCCCCACCACTCGCGCTTCCTTCTTCGTTTGATACCTTCCTTTGTGGCTGTCATTTCAACATTTTATAACCATTTTTTTTATCCTTTCCTCCTTGCATAACAAATTTGTGGGATTTTTAATAAACTGGCAGTAAGTTCCAACAAATTGCGACCTGCAATTCGGTAAGAAGTGATCCGAAGTATTGAAAGGTAGAAAAGCCCTGATGTTGATTCAGGGTTTTGAATATGAGGAACGCTGCCTCCTCTCCCCCTTTCGAATGAATGTATTCGTGTTCTGTCACTCACAGGGGTTTTACTTTTTCAATTTGCTTTGGTTTGAAACAGGTCTGCCTGCTTCAAGACTCCAATGGAGAATTTTAATCGTGACCTGAATAAAGATTTCCTGAAGGAGCTAGAGTGCGCGGCCTGCATGGAGCTCATGCTGCCACCTATCCACTCATGCGAGTACGGACACAACATCTGTTCTACATGCAAACCTACAAGGACGGTTTGTCCATCCTGCAGAGGACCGTTTGTGAATATCAGAAATTTGGCCCTGGAACGTATGGCCAGGAACGTGAAACAACGTTGTACTTCCAGAGCGTTTGGTTGTAGTGAAATGTGTTACCTGAATTTCATGACGGATCACAAGGCTGCATGCGCTTATGCTCCCTATACGTGTCCCTTTGCCAATGAAAAGAGTTGTGACTGGGGAGATCTTTACAGGAACTTGAAGGAACACTTGCTGGAAAAACACAGTGACTACGTAACTGAACAGAATGATGCTACAGATCTTGTTATGGAAACAGGCATCAGAGGGTTGCAAGAGCGAAAGTTTGTCTTCGCTTATGACGAAATATTTTATACCTATATTTATATATTACAGAACAATTGCTGTTACTTTAGTGTCAGGTATATTGGAGCGCCGGAGAATGCTTCTAAGTATGGTTACAAGATATGTTTCAGCAAGTCGAATAGTATTGAGAACATCGTGGTTAGCCAAGTCACTTCCAGTATTGCTGAGGATATTTTTGCGCCAGGGAAAGGCATCATGCTTCCGTGTGATCTGCTAAAACGGTTCATAGTAAGTGGCAAATTGCCGTACACGTTAGAAATTTTTCAAGTTTAAGCAGTGAATGCAGCTTGTCTGTCTATCAGTAGTTTGTCCATGTAAGTAAAGGTACTAATGACATTTTTACTTTGAATCTGGTAGTTTTTTACTCGATCACGGTAGAAACAAGAAATTTTTATAAGTTTTATATGCTTAGGACAGGATAGCCCAGTCAATTATATGAGTGGCTATGGGGTTCGATTCCTGGTTGAGACAGGCATTCCTATCTTTACCTCCACGCCCAGAGTAGCTCTAAAGAGTCTGAGTATCCAGTTAAGAATGCGTGGAGCTGTATATCCACTTCCCCTTACGTCTTCATGGCGTGGTGCTTAATTAAACACATGACAATTTTACCTCCTTACCTTCTGTTTGTATGCAATGAATTAGCAAAGAAATAATTGTATTGTACTGTATAATGAATAGTTCAAGTGTTTGTTAACATTTATATACAACATTGCTGAATTTGAAATAAACACTTTTTACTCCTTACACAATCAATATTATATATTTACATTTGCTTGTTAACCTCAAGGACTAATACGTCACTTGAACATGTTCCACTCCACAGAACATCATTTAGATGATACAGAATCCACGTGTATAGCATACACAACGTGACAGGTGACCATCAATGACGGACGTCGTTTGGTAATTATTTTATAGACACGTCCATAAAACATTTGAAAACGCAATGTACCTGTAGATCCCACTTGTGGTGTTGTGTAAATGTCATTTCACAATTGAGGACCTGGTGGCCTAGACATGAGGTCCACCGTACACAAGGTATTGAATTCGATAACACGCGAGTCCAGCGTTAATTTTATCACATATCCTATCCTCCCCTCTTCTCATGTCTAACACCAAAGCCAAAAAACTTTGTGTGTATTGAGAATACTACGCCTTTATTGTGGTTCGGATTCCACGTTAAGCTGTGAGAGTTCTCATCAACGTCAGTATCATATTCACTAGGAACATCGGGATGACACTGGAAATCTCAGCTCCTGGGTTCTCATAGGTAAAATATTAATTTCTGTCTTTACCTACCTAGACAAAAAGAGACCTGTATGTCAGATGATGTCATATCTTGAGCAACACACAACAGCAACTTGACATCCTTTATGGAGGAAACGCCATCACTTTGAGAACGTTAGTTCACTAATATTGTTCCGACTTTACTAAAGTATTAGCTTTCAAGTTGATGTTTGTGGGTAATTGGCCTGAGTAACCAAATAATTATAGGTTTGTTTTATTTGTAGTGTTCTGTCTGACTACAAGTCCATATGAACAGGATCCTTCCATCCTTTTCTCGGACTGGGACCTGTTCATATACGTTCTTGGCAGATGATCCAGAAGTGGTTTGCCATTGCCTTCTTCTGTGTGTGAATGGAGTAATTGTTGGGATGCCACGGAGGAAAACTCCGTGTTGCCTAGACCACGAAAACAAAAACTCGTCTAAATGACCCATATATATTACAAAGGCAATATGTTTCACGCTGTTTATTCTGAGAATCATACGGAACCCACAAATACAAAATTGTGTGGTTAAAGTAAATGGTTGTTGACGCACGTGGTTCAAAAAGTAACCAGTGGGTTCTGAAGGGTTGAAAACGCTGTTGTCCTGTACAATAAAATACTCCACCAAATTGTCATTACAGTTGTAAATATCCCGGTGACATATTTGAATTAAAAATAAATTGCTGTTCTCAGAAGCAAACGAAAATTATGTGCAGGATTTCTGAGCTATATGCAAAGTAATGAGTACGAAAGCAGATGGCAATTGGCTATAAGCATAAATGTAAGTCTTCTGTCGTCATCGTAAGACTAATTTTGCAACGACCATCTCTTTTCGAGAGAAGTGACTAGTAAAATGCGACATTCCACAGATAAGTTGTTTGGAAACTGTTTGTTAACAAAGCGGTTTAGGTTTTCCAAGTTTACGGCACTTCTTAAAATTAATTTCATACGTCAGAGTCCTTAAAAAAGTTGACGGTTTTGCGGACACACTACAAATCGACCAGGATACACGGCATTACAACTCGGGATGGAGGTGAGTACCTACTTCACACTCCGGTCGCCTTACCCCTGGAAAAAGCAGCTGAACCAGACCCGTCGGGATGCAATAACGAAAAACAAATGTCCTATCTGTGTCGAGTATCGAGCCAACTGGCTTAAATAGAGAATGTCCGATTTCCGGGTAAGGGTGTATCCTTGCTTGCACTTTGTACATGTCCAGAGGTGGAGTTCCGCATGTGACAGGAATTTATGAAGTGTCTCACTGGGATGGGAATTACAAACAGATAAAGAGGTCTTATCTGTAACCAGCGCCCACGGTAAATCAATGCGGTAAACAACTGTACAGGCTGTCTACTTGTGTTCTTTCGACAGCGGTTCTAAAGTGAGCTCCCTTTGTTTCATCATTTACGAAAATTAATTTGTTTATTAATTTAGCCCTTACAAGCCCCATCTAATACTCAGCTACAGTCCACGACTGTAATCTTGAGACTTGCAAGGAATGCAGGAAGTCTGTAGCGTCAAAGGCAGGCGCTTTCCTCCTTCACCCCACTTCCTCACCCCCGCAAGTCTCAAGATTACAGTCGTGGACTGTACTTACGACCAGACCGGGATTCGAAACCGGAATGTCACGGTAATGAACATACTAAATCCCGCAAGCACGGAAGCTGTTGTCGGACAATCCGATTAAATTTATAATCCAAAGCATGTCCTCTTCAATTAGTTCGGATAATAAATTCCTATACGATCGTATAATTGTCAGATTATCCTCAATTACGTTCAACAACCAATGACGTATTATACCAAAACGTAAAGTGTGTCACAATGGTACAGGACCCCCCCTGTTTCAAACTGTACGTTACGATATTAGTAACGCACGAGATCTTATTTAACGACGCTTCAAGTTTGTTACGAATGGGTTAACCTCCTTCCCTTCAGCATAATTGGAATCGTCAAGAAACGAAAAAATATATTACAAATATCAAGAATGGTGATTAAGTCTACATAAGGATTAGTAATAATTTGGACGTGGCAGATTTCAAGGCGAGATCCCAGCACAGGCCGGACAGCGGAAATGAACTTCAGTCAGATTAGCTGCTAAGTCAGCAGAGAATCGAACCGGATATCTCTTAAATGACTTACTATTCTGAATCATAGAAATATTTTATTGGATATATTGTCTATTGTCTGATGTTCGTTCGATACAAACAAAGTGTCGAGTGATGACTACTCAAGTTGTAACGTGATTGGTCGTCATAATACTGACACTTTTTTACTACTAGTGACAACGGTTGGGATCGAAGTCTGGACCATTGAAATGCTAGCCTTGTACGCTAAACCAAGTTTAGACCACAGGGTGGTCCAAGTACCTTGGTGACTGCCTGATCGAATCCCGACCGTTCTCAGTAATAATAATAATAATAATAATAATGATAATAATAATAAACTCCAGAAACGTCGATGAAACAGAAACGTCGAGAAAATGTATCTCAATGGACAACATCGAACATAATGTTCTTTCGTGACTCTACCGGTGTCTGAAGCCTTACTAGCTACACTAATCTACTCGACGTAAAAATGTAATGTGTAAAGTATATAGCGTAGGAAACAGCACAACATGCCACAGGCCACGAAAGGTGCTATTCTTTGCTTTGGCTTTGGATGGTTCAGAGGAGTGGAATATTTGTCACGTGAATTATTATTTATCGGTAGATAAGGAGTTTTATCACAACGCAGAAGCTCATCACACCCATTCAAAGTCTTGCAGTCTCGGTTTAACCAACAGAACGCGACTTCTGCTGAAAACACAAAGGCAAGTTTCTAAAAGCTTACGTAATTGTTAATAAGTTCGGTTAACTTACCATAGTAGCCACGTCAATGATCACGAGAAGCACGAAATATAATCTAAACGCTTTGTTGCACGTAGGATTGCGCTCCAAAGGATGTGACACGTAAGTCGAATTTGTTTTTCGTAACAGATGAAGCGGTTTCTTCGACACGTCGTTCGTTGAAGTGTCTAATGCCACGTGGCACAACCAGTAATTCTTTGTTCGGTTCCTATGGTTCTCAGACTACACAGCGACGACATTAACCAACCGATCTTTATAGCAGTAAAGTGTGACTTTTCTACGCGGTACGGACTGAATTCTAAAATAATTGTTTTTTTGGAAGTGAGTGGTCGGAATATATGACGAGAATAGGCCACTGGGAAGATGTAGACAGAAGGAAAATATAAAAAATCATTTTTGAGGAAACAGGTTGTGGAATGGCATCTTATGGCTCAGGTATAATTATTGCTGAATTTCTCGACTTTGTCCATCGTCTAGTATTCTTAAACGAAGTGTTTCAGAAATTGGAACTGTCTCCTTGAGTTTAAATGGTGTGATGTGGCGTCTCACACAATTTAAATCACAATGATCCAATGAAACCATTGTTATCAAAATGTTTGGTTACAGTACAGTGAACCAATTGTCATTGTTATCAAAATGTTTGGTTACAGCACAGTGAACCCGTTCAACAATGAACACCATCTCCTGTGACCTAAGGCAAGGCCTACTAAGTGAGCTAGAGTGTCCGGTTTGCACGGAATACATGCTGCCACCTATCGTCTTCTGCACTAACGGACACAACATCTGTCCCAGCTGCAAACCGAAAGTAAACCAATGCCCTACCTGCAGACAACCATTTGTGAAAATAAGGAATGTCGCTTTAGAGAAAATAGCGAGGCAGATCGAGTATCCTTGCACTTATTCGAAGTACGGATGCACTAAGAAGGTCACACTGGACATGAAGAATAAACATGAAAAGGTCTGTTCGTACAACGTGTATGGCTGCCCGTTAAGAAAGGTAATACATTACAATTTTAGATCTCCCGCTGAATCTACAGCGTAGAATGTACAGGGTGTTTCTGAAACACGAGACAAATTTAGGGCCGTATTCTGTGCACACAAAAAATAAGAAGTATAAGTAAACGTGAGTCTTGAACGCCTCGTTTTTATTCAATTTAGTTATGATCGTCCACAAGGAGGTGTTTATTTACGTGTCGCTGATTGCAAGGTTACAGATTTATTTATTTTTTATTTAGTGTTCTGTCTGACGACAGGTCCATATGAACAGGATCCTTCCATCCTTTTCTCTTCTCGGACTGGGACCTGTTCATATACGTTCTTGGCAGATGATCCAGAAGTGGTTTGCCATTGCCTTCTTCTGTGTGTGAATGGAGTAATTGTTGGGATGCCACGGAGGAAAACTCCGTGTTGCCTAGACCACGGCCTTGCCCAACACAAGTTATAAATCCGCCCTTTTATGTAATGGACACAAACTTTTTTGGGGTGAGGGCAATCAAGAGGATATTTCAGTTCACACACTCATGTTTTTCTACAACTGAGGTGCTCTTATTATTTTGACATTTTCAAGGTGCCTGCAGTCAACTGTTCTTGGGGTGGAAATCTGCAAGACTTGAAGAAGCATCTCACAAATTCGCACAAAGAATGGACATACGAATACAAGGGAAAATTTATGACTGGCTTGGTAGACATCAAGCCTGCTCGAAGGTACTGCTACATCATATTCGCTTACGGTGAAATATTCTATCGATATTTCTCAGTAAAGAACGGTACTCTCTATGGAGTACTGCAATATATAGGCCCAAGGGAAAATTCAGCAAAATATCGATACAAGATGATTTTCGATAACAAAGACGATATGGGAAGTATATCGATATGCCATGTGACTCAAAGTTTTGTGGACAGTATGGACGATATTCGAGAAACTGGCAAATGTCTTAAATTGCATTTTGATGTTGTCAAGAATTTTGTGAACATGAAAAATAACTTAAAGTTTCAGATGGAAATATCCAAAAATGAACTGAATTAAAATGTAATTGCATGTTCAGTGTATCAAAACTGGATGCAGTGAACAATAGTGAATGTATGATAATAGATGTGTATCTATTATAGTAAACAATGAAAATATTGAGAAATTAAGGATGCATTATCGTCATATTTTATTTGCTTTCCAAACATTCCGAGTGACATACATTACATACCACTCTAAAGCTGTGTCGCCGTCTTTAGGTACACATCAAACGTGTCTGCTCTGTACGGCCCGTTATTCAACACTTCAGGCTGAATGGTAATTATATGTACCACCTGCTTTAACGTTCAATAACTTTGTTTTACCCACATATTTCATTCATGTGGTTCTTATGATTCTCAGTGTAAACAGCGATTATTCCATTATCAACATTAACCAGTTGATCTTTGTAATGGTGATGAGTTGTTTACTTTGCGGTACGGACCGAATTTTCAAAAGTTATTTAGATGAGCTTCGGATTAAAGTCCAAGAAGTTTGGTGTGTACGCCTAATAGCATACAGTTTAGGAATATTTTGCCGTTAATGTGCTCCCAGAGGCCAAAAGCATAATCGGTAATGATGCTATATTGTAAAATGCTCTATTTTATAAGTGCTGGTACCATTAGGCAGCTTTGGGAACTAATGTAAGAAACAGAAACTTTGATAAAACAGGATACAGTCTACAATAAATAATGTGTCACAACAAACGTATTGGCCTACTTATTGTAAGAACTGAAACACACATTAAAAATTTTGAGCTGGTGGCCAACCTTAAATTAGACGGCGACAGCTTCCTTGTGTATCCTTTCCATTTATTAGTCATTAATCAACCTATAATCCGATGTTACATAGTCTAAGCTACTACCAGCGTCGTTCAATAAAATACAAACAATATTTTAAATTTTAAATCGTCTTTAGCCCTTTGATTTTCCTTCCAAGTAGCTTAAATATCTTAAATCAATATTCCCCAAACAATCATTTAGTGGGATAGCCCTGAAGATGGAAGCAGCAAGGGCCTCCGAAACGTTGTTAAACGTCTACCGGACTACACGACAATAAAAACCAGAAGACAGCCATGTTCGTAATTATCAATGTTCTACAACGAACAACACTGAAAATCTACGTTTGACTGCGATGTCTTGGGTAGGTAGGATACACGTCCTATAAACGTGACGGAGAAGTTGCCGTTACAGAAAGGCGCACCACATACAGCAACACAGATTCCTCAGAGCAAAGGAAATATTCAGAGTTGGGTTCCAAAAGTGGACGCTTTGCCAGGCGAAACTCAAGTTACAGCAAGGCTGTGGTCAGATTGTGTCCCGCGAGGAAGCCGCTGTTATGAGATACATTAATTCATTAAAAGTGTAAAACCAAACTTAACCCAAATAAGATTTCAGGTTCTAACGGCGGCTAGTCCGAAGATGGCTGTCTTTTGGGTTGTAACACCTTGTAGTCTGGTAGAAGTTTACCAAAGTTTTCAGAGGTCCTTGCCGCCTCCATCCTCAGGGCGACGAGTGGATGAAAGAAGCAACAGCCTCTGAAACGGTGGTAGACTTATACGATTATAACCCAGAAGACAACCATCTTCCTAACCTATCCACCAGTATACAGTTCTCAAACACCGTCAGTCTTAAATAAGTCTGAGAGGAACGCACATAGTTGAAATATTTGTAAACAGAATATACATTTTCTAGTCGCATATGAACTATAACACGTGGTTATTCTTATAGAGATATAAACAAGTGTGTTGTTAATAGACTCGTGTTCAAAACAGCCCCCCCCCCCTACGAATTAGGAGCTATTGACCACGTTCATTATTCTTTCAAGACAAAATATCAAACGCCACGACCTAGCGATTCCAATAAAACTTACTGTTGACTTACATACAATACTTCATGCAGAATTTGTGAGCATATTTATATGATTTATCTTCGCACCAGATGTCAAACGTCTACCTAAAATATGTCTCCATCGTCAGAGCCCTGATCTATTGAGGTATTAATCACCTCTGAAACGTCGGCCAGTTTGTACGAGGCTACACGCGCAGCACCGCAGGAGAGAGAGAGAGATCTTCGTCGTATCGCGTCACGACTGATCTTATATTACGCCTTACACCAGCAGATTGCGACATACGGCCTTCTCTCTTTGTCACGCCCATTCCAGGTTCATCTGCACCACAAGGAATATTTTATCACGAAAAAGACGAATCATTTTCTTTGTTTCATGAGAACAGGCTCTGGCTGTCCTCCTCAGTCTTGAAGCTAACAACTGAATCCCAACATAACACAGGTAAGAATCTGATTTAAAAAAGTCGAACCCTTGTGAAAAATGATTATTTATTTAAAATTACCTAGAATCTAAGCAAATCAAGTTGTCACTAACATATAATTCTCTGCGTGTGATTAAAAAATGTAATCGATTTATTGCAAATGTTTGAGGAGCTGACTTTAGAAATTTGAGCGCAGAGAGATTCAGGGCCACGCAGTTACCGGTTAGGTATTCATTTTCCCTAAATGCTGTACGTATCTGCATTTACAAATAAGAAATTAATTATATTCCATAACAAGAGTTATAAATACGAAACAGTCATGAAATGAGCAAATGTGCTGTAATTTTTTAATAAGTTCTCCAGGGCACGAAAGGAAGTGACTAGAATATACCCCTGACATGAAAAATCAATCTCTGGTGCACCTGCTCTGACGAACCTATAAAGCCACCACTAACGACAACAACACCACGATGACTTCCGTTTTACTTTCCATGTTTAACGGCGAACGTTTGATAAATAATGAATACGATAATACATCCGATAAGTAAATATAACAAATATGTGGAAAATGGGAGTTTGGTTCTATCTTTCCGCGCTCGAAAGGCTACAGATAGCTCGTATCTCACTGACTCGGTAGTGTTATGAACTGATAAAACACTGGAGTATAATTTACCACCAACTAAGCGTCCAACTTCAGTTCACAATAGCCAGCCGCGAGCGGTAGTGTGTACGTGCTTACGCTCCTGAACACCCCGAACAAGACAGTGTTCAGAAAAGCTCAGTGTTCTCAGGTACGGTCGCTAAGATGCCTTCACATTGTAATTGGTTTAATAACATTATCGTTTATTATTCTAAGAAACATACGGAACGTAAATACGCTGTTTTAATTAATACACTCAAACTCGTTTAAAATATATAATAAAATTCAGGTCAATACACAAAACTTTATTTAGATGTTAAAATTTAAAATTTAAATGTTAAAATTTTAAATTTGCGCCATTCATCACTATAAGGATGTTACAATAGAGCGCTTTCATTCACTTCACAACATGTTTCGATGTAATACATCATCTTCAGGTGTTGTCTTTTAAAACTATTTTATATTATAATGCATGTCTTTCAATATATTCATTATTGTAGCATGCATTTTAATATAAAATAGTTTTAAAAGACAACACCTGAAGATGATGTATTACATCGAAACATGTTGTGAAGTGAATGAAAGCGCTCTATTTTAACATCCTTATAGTGATGAATGGCGCAAATTTAAAATTTTAACATTTAAATTTTAAATTTTAACATCTAAATAAAGTTTTGTGTATTGACCTGAATTTTATTATATATTTTAATCAAAAAACACAAACATGACGCATGTAAACCTCAAACTCGTTTATTTCCTTTAGATGGACAACCTTTCAGAGGACCTGCTTCTTGAACTGGAATGTCCTATCTGCATGGAGTACTTGCTACCACCAATTGCAATGTGTGGTAATGGCCATAACGTATGCAACGCCTGCAAATCTAAACTCCAGGATTGTCCTATTTGCAAGAGAAAATTCACAGACGTGAAAAACAGAAGTCTTGAAAACATATGCAGGAAAGTAAAATTACCTTGCAAATACACTAAAGACGGATGCACAGAGGCGTTTTCTATAGATACTATCAGTAAGCACCAATCAGAATGTCCCCACGGCCAATACAAGTGCCCTTTCGTTATCGCTTCTCTGGATTGTTCCTGGGAGGGACCTATTGCTGATATGAAGGATCACATTAGAAGCGAACATGTGGAAACTGGAGACTACAGGGACGTACTCGGACTACACTACGCTAGGCTGCCAAACTTCGAAACGTCGTCAGCTTGGTGTCAAGCTCTGTTCGCGATGAACGAGGTGTTCTTCAGAATGTCTGAAGTCATCGATGGCTTCCTTTACTCCTGTGTTTTCTACGTAGGGCCAAAGGCCAAAGCTTCCAAGTACAATTACAGACTGACAATCAATAATACAGATGGGAGAGGCTGTGCTTCTATGTGTCATGAAACTTCTGGATTTGAAAGCGACACGAAGGAGGTGTTTCGAAACGGAAATTGTGCTGTATTTCATTGTGAATTCGCAAAGACGTGTGTAAATGAAGACAATGAACTGGTATTGGAAGAAGAAATATTCAGCTCTTCTTAACTTTGGAGAAGAAAAAAAACTTGTTCACAATATCTACTGACTTAATAAGAACGTGGACAAGGCGTGTAGCATGCGTTGATTTGAAAATCTAGTTAAAGACGAGTCGATAATTATTAACAGTTGCTACGTTCTGACTGTCACCTGATACTACGCACAAATTAGTTTCCTGATGCCAATGCGAAGTGCATCACTGCACGCGTAGATGTAACACTAAAGATTTCACAGGCGAATGTTTAAAAAATTTACATCCCGGCGTGCGCTTGATTTTAGTCATGAACGAAGGTTTTAAGTGTTCGAAAATTTGTAGGGAAGAAGCCACTTGAAGTTCATCTTAAAAAAGTATAATCGAGACTGAAGCACATCTGAAGTTCCGACTCCATGAATGTGGCAAGGAAGTTTTTGAGGTTTCTGAAAGGAGTACGTCCGTGCGCCACGCCATTACGGTAAATTCCTTCACAGTTCATTACTCGAGTGTTACGATAGATATCGCCATTAGCTTCCTTAGAGTTCAGTTTTATACTGGAGTTCTGCATAGCTCAAGAACGGAGTTTCAAGATGTTATACTTTGAATTGTAAATTGTTCCCGTATTAATTTAAAAGAAAGTTATAAAATGTTCTTCTGTAGAATGCGAAAAAGGGTACATACACTTTAACAGACACGAGAGTATAAATATTATTAAGTCGTCAAGGTTCTGGATTAGTTGTAATATCACGTTGACACCATTGCAAGACTCGGAAAGGTTTTTGAGTTCTGGTCCCTATTTAGCAAGGTGCGTTGATGATGTTTAGAACTGTCGGTACGGGAAATGTGCTGGATGCAGGGGGTACGAAGGGTAGCAACCCCTACCAGTTTCGAAGTCGCTGGATGCATCTGTCACTGAGCTAGAGCGTTGTGAACTGGGATTGCCGTTGTGCCGATGGGACTCTGGTCCTATGGGGCTGACTGGGACAATGGAACCGATGGGTAATCTAAAGTAGTCGCCATAATATTGTGATTTGGCGACGGACGCTTGTACCAGAATTGCCAGGAAGCAGATTAAAGCGCTGGTCTGTCAAATAACACTCGGATTTAAAGCAATACTTGTGCCTGACTGAAAGTCCCCTCACAGAAAATGAACTAAGCGTGTCCCGCTGTAACTTTATAGCGGATAGTGTACAACATTTCGGTTTGCCAACCGTGAGTTTCTTCAGCTACTCCAGTGCTGAATGCTGCGATAGTAATTGAAACGTAAACGAAACATTAATTAATTAGGCTGCCTGTTAAATCCTATAATTCATAAGATGATTATTTGTTATAAAGAACTGAGCATAAAAAGGTCCCATTTTACAAAATTATACTTAATGTAATATAACACTGAACGTTTAATCTAAATTAAGTTACTTGGCTTAATATCCACTGACCTAAGTTGAGGTTGCCGTTGTTGGTCCAACGGTGAGCCATGGTTGCGTCTTCTGTGCATGGATTGTTATGAACGTCCACGTTGCGTTTTCACAATACACAACACGAGTTTTAAACATGTTATGGAGCACCTTCCAAAATGCATTATATAATGTCGAAATGAATTCTTGATTATTTCTGTAACATCCTGACTCATTTAGCCTACCATAAATGTGCATCCTGTCAATGAATATGTCATTTGCAACTGTAAGTCAACACGATTTAAAAAAAAAAAATTGTTTCGTACAAAATTCATAGTACTTCTCAGTTTCCTTAACGTATTTGCATAGATGTATCACAAATATATGGTTTTATTTTTGTTAAAATTTGTTTTAAACCCGCCATGTGTGTATCACTAAGTGCATCCTGTCAATGAATATGTCATTTACAACTAAGTCAACACGATTTCAAAAAAAAATTGTTTCGGACAAAATTCATAGTACATCTCAGTTTCCTTAACGTATTTGCATAGATGTATCACAAATATATGGTTTTATTTTTGTTAAAATTTGTTTTAAACCCGCCATGTGTGTATCACTAATGTAAGTTTTAAACATTATTTTCAAATTAAATTAAATTTTATAATATTAAATGTAAGTTTTAAACATTATTTTCAAATCAAATTAAATTTTATAATATTCCTGTACAAATCTGCAGCGTTAATATTTATTTTAGTATTTATTTTAAAACTACTACCCAAACACTAGAGTCAATGCAAAGTCGTTATTTTAAAGAAGCCTCGAATCAGTGAACTTTATTTCAAATAAATTCAAAGCAAAAGATTTCATTACTTCTCAGTAGCGTATTTTTAAGTCCAATGGCATTTTTATCATATTACTTCAAAATATATTTTTATAATACGTTTTTCATTCTAAATTGGTGAATCAAATATTTTTCGAACATTCTAGAAACAGCCATCTTGAATAGATCTACACGGAAATTACGAATTATAAACGGCCCAATTGCACAAACGATTCGGACGATGTCTTTCTGGATGTGTACACTGATAAAGAAATGATGATAAACAAGTGACCTTATAAAGCAAGTTACAAAGAGAATCCCTACCCTTATCATACACGATTACACAACGCGTACAACCACTTGCACTCAACAGGATGGACTGACTCACTACCACCTCTATCTGCAATGACGTAAGCACCCCAGTCCATGGTTACTCGAATATTATTCACGACCGTACACCTGATTCCTTGTAGCGCGTTTCATGATTTTAAATATACTTTTCGATCGAGTATGAGAGTTAATTCAAGCATTGGATGGATCGAGAATTATTTAACGACGCTGTATCAAATTACTCCGCCCCCTACATTTTAGATCGTTTGATTTGTTATTATAGCAGAATAAGAAATTAATTTTGTCTTAGCGCGCTACATAATACGACGTAATCATTATAATACGCCATGATTCTTTTTTATCACATCAATGCCTTTCAAGACTCCACGCATTTCTTCGGTATTACACAGGATAAAACTAACTTTAAAATCTTTGAGGTTTTCATAATGCTGTTTCTCGTCGTTACAAAGTAAAATGTTTATTTCCGCGAATACTTATGCTCTGTATACTACGCAAACACTAGCACTTGCAAAATCCTGCTATTGGAAACGCAAAAAAATGTACGTGGTCCTAGACGTTTAAAATATTTTAAATCCCTACAAAATTCCAAGATTGTCCCACACCTTATTGCAACTGACGCAGTGATCAGAAACCTAAAACATCTTGAAGATGCTGTCTTCCCAGCCATCGATGAGTATCGCCCTGATGGAGGCAGAAAGGACCTCCGAAACGCCGGCAAACTTCTACCAGACTACACGGCGCAACGACCCTGAAAACAGAAATCTTCGTTCTCACCGCCATGATGGCCTGAAATCCTAGAGAAACAACTTTCCTACTTATCTGGACAAATTTGTGAGAGTTGTCGGCCATACGTTTTCGTGTGAGTATGTACATGTTCTTTCACGCTAAAACAATCGACAGCTGTTAGAACGACACCCGTGAGCCTTATCAAACGTGATAACGAATCACGTGACCAGAAGTCGACGAGTTGTCAACGCTGGCAGTCAAGACTGCACATAAACTCGGGCTAAAACGCAGAGGCTAGCAGCCAGACTTGTCTCAGCTTTGTTTTACATCATTGAACGTCAGGTGAGTAACTATTTAATAGAGAAACTTTTCGAATATGCTGTACCTTTTAAGCTAGTCGAAATATGATTACTAACTTCAACAGAATTGTATTTATGTTTTGGCGATTAAATCAAGGAGGATGAAGAGAATGGAACATGTAGCATGCATAGTAAGATGATAATCTCATTCAACAGAAATTTCTTAATATCAATAACGGAATGTCCTTTCTTCCCTTCCATATTTGGTGTTCTCTTCAATCACGTGACAATCACAACGGGAATGGGTGTGCATTGAGTCAGAGGGATTTTGCCCAAGGAAAGGTTCCCAGAAACTATAGTATGTCAGTACAGAGCGGGGATTATGTACAGAGTAAACCTCGTTATCTAAAGTCGAGCTTACACACTGTTCTGTTCACAGGTCCATAGTTCATTTTCAAGTTCCCTGTGTTTTTCACACAATATAGCAATTTTTCTGTGGTATGTCTTGCTTTGTTGCGATAGGCTCGTCGTAATCTTTCCCAGAACAAAAATTACTGGCGACATTGTTTCAGCGTTCCGAAGCTCCAGGCAACAAAGGCTCCACGTTTTCTAGATGTTAGAGGTAAGGTGATGTGGTTGGTCAGCTGTACCCTACTGGTTCTGAAACTCCATTGTTCTTACAATAGACTCTTGTGATGACTGTAACAGTCTGGGTCCGGTAGCATCTGAATCCATTGGATGCTTAACAAAGACCTTGCAGTGGAGTGTTGCGTACTTGATTTGTTTGTTAGCCGGATGATTCTTTTCAAACTGGTAACCGTAATTCTTTTTTTTTTTATTCATGAAGATCCGATCAAGATGGACACACTGTCCGAGGACTTCTTGAAGGAGTTGGAGTGTCCTGTATGTTTGGAGTACATGATGCCTCCTATCACAATGTGTGAGAGCGGACACAACATCTGTGACTGTTGCAGACCTAAACTGGACAAATGTCCGACGTGCAGACAGCCATTCTTGAACGTGAGGAATAAAGCTCTCGAGAACGTAGCCTGGAAACTGCAATATCCGTGCTGTTACAAGTCCACAGGCTGCTCCATGTTGCTTCAACCCAAACTAATGGACGAGCATCAACTAGCTTGTCCTTACCGTCCATATAAATGCCCGCTTTCAAAGGCAGAGAGTATCATGTGCGAATGGGTTGGCGCACTGGCGGGCCTCAAGGAACACATAGAAACAAAGCATCGGAACAGACTGACAGACATTGCACATGGAAAGGAAGTTGTCATCAGGAGATACAGAAGCGAATGCAAATTTTCGAGAGTGATTTTTGCTTATGATGAAATCTTTTATCAACAGTTTGAAGTGATTGACAACGTGTTCTATTTTCTAATCCAGCACATTGGTCCAGAAAATTACGGTTCAAAGTTTCAGTATAACTTTACATTAGAGACGTATGGAAGTTCCGAGTATGTGTCTCTGGCTTTTGTAGCTCGGAGTTGCAAAGTGGATATCAAAGACATATATCGTTCAGGGCAGTGTGTGAAACTGTTTTTTGAAACTGTCAAGAACTTCTTGAATGAAAGGGGCGACTTCAAATTCGAATTTCATATTAGGAAACTCTAGAAAGAAGGATTTGTTATAAAAAGGACGTTACCACAAATGAAGATGGCTGTCTTCTGTATTGTGGCGTCGCGTAGTATGGTAGAAGTTTACCATCGTGTCAGAGGTCCTTGCTGCCTCCATCATCAGCGCGACTTCTACCAGAACTCATGGCGCTAAAACCCAGAAGACAAGCCATCTTCCGACTCACCGTCGTGAAAACTTCAAATCCATTGTGTACTATCTTAGTTTCCCGTCATAATTTGAGGGTAATTTTTGGTAGAATAGTTTGTATGTTACTTACGTAAGGACTGGGACTAACACATGCGAAACCGGAATGGGATGTGTCTGTTTCCGTAATGACGTCACCAATTTCTTTGTCATACACCAACAGTTTCCGCCAGATAACGCCACGGGGAACGTGGTGTAAGAACGAGAAACATCATTACCCAGCAAGACGGAGCGCGTGTGCCGAGCGTTGCAGCGTTAAAGTGGCCTCGAGGTAAGTTCTGTTGATTCATTAAGTTCTAAAGTCATCCACATGCTATACACTGAAAACGACTGGGGTTCGGTTCCCGACGGGGGCAACGACATTTGACTTCGCTGTTAACGAACGGCCATAGTGGAGCTCGGTGGATAACATAAATTATTTATATCTTCATACTCATCGCCCTGGTGACGGAGGCAGTATGACCCCTGAAATCTTCGTACTCACCGCTGTGAGAACCTCAAGTCTTACATAAATTATTTTCGCGGTTAGTTAAGCGCAGGCAGAGTTTCACATTTTATTTCACGTGCAATAATTTAAAGACTTTGAAACTTCGCTACAGATCATCAATGTTATCATCAGGTATCTTGATATAGAGATTCTTCGTAATACCGTTCAGTTTTCATTTGAGGTTTTAAATCATTGTTCACTGATTCAACCAGCATCCATTATTAATTTCCTGACATTGAGTATTATTCCATTTGTTTTTGATTAATTATTTATATCACATCACTCCGACAATACGATTACATCAATGTTATATAACACATCAATAAATGTTGATACAATGAAAAACGAAGAAATGATAAGAAAATTAAAAAATTAAAAATTAGTAATTGAATTAAGAGTTTATAACATACACCTGATGACGGCTCTATGAAAGCCGAAACATGTCGAGAATGTTCCATATGTAAATCGAGTACTCGATACGGAACAAAGGATAATATTTTAACCATCTAATTATCTTATATTACTTTATTGTGATTGACGGACAATTTTAATATATTTTAATACTATTTAATTAGTTATTACTATCCAACAGTCTCCGTGAACAGCAAGTGTCCTGAAAATATGCCAAATTCCGTGGAGAAGTTCCCGATGGATGAGGACCTAAGCAACAGTGTCCTGAAAGAGCTGGAGTGTCCTGTCTGCATGGAGTACATGGTATCTCCGATAACTATGTGCGAGAGCGGTCACAACATCTGCAACAGATGCGGACCCAAAGTGAAGAAGTGTGCCACCTGCAGACAACCTCTGCTGTCAACACGAAACTTCACTCTGGAGAACCTGGCCAAGACAATCAAGTATCCCTGTCGCAACCGGAAGACTGGCTGCGAGGAAGCATTCCCTCTCGACCAGATCACACATCATCAGACTGTCTGCCTACACAGATTCTACGACTGTCCTTTGGCGAAAGCACCGGGGAATCTGTGTCTCTGGCAAGGTCCTAGGAGTGAAATCAAGAGACACATCGACATTAACCACAAACTCAGGGTCACGGAAGCGATTGCTACGCTCTCAGTTTTTATTAAAGCGTTCAATCCCACATACAAGTATTGCAGGGTTATATATACTCTAGGAGAAATTTTCTATCAGCAGTTTGATGTCAGTGCAGATAATTTCTGTTTTGTGGTGCAGTATGTCGGACCAGAAGCGGAGGCATCCAGATATAAGTACCAGTTAACGCTTAAATCACCGTGTGGTCCTGAAAAAATTAAGGTGTCTCAAGTGACGCAAGGTGTCAAAGTTAGCACCGATGACATCCGTCAGTCAGGTAAATGTATCAAATTGCCCTACGATGTTGTCAAGAATTTCTTGGAGAATGACGACTTGAAATTTGAAATGAGCATATCTGAAGTATGAAGGACAAAAAAAAAAATGTTTTTGAAATAGGATGTTGTCACGGTGGTGAAGAGAACAATGTTAGTTTTCTGGGTAGTAGCGCCGTGTCGACTAATCGGTGAACACATCCGTCTCGGAGTAAGTACTACCTATAACACCAACATCGACCTGTAGATGTCTCACAGCCTGATCGAATAATTGAATGATAACACCAACAACACTATAAATAAGTGAATTAGTGACTGAATTATTACATTCATCATCAGACTAAGTCAGTGGTACGCAACCGGTGTGCCGCGAAATTTTCACCTCATATTATAACCATAATGAGATGAATAATTGTTTGTCTTGTTTTCTGTTCTAGACGGAAAGTCGAGAAGAGAGACTTTCAAGCGACTGAGTATGGCCACTTTCTTGCAAATTAACACATTTTAACAAGCCAAAAATTAATAAAATCAATTAAATTTAAATGAAGTAAGGCGTACCAAATATCATCTAATTACGTCTCCTTTTATATAAACCAGATTAACATGCCAAAGCCTGGTTTACCCCTCATCTCAAGGTTCAGCCCGTTCGGGAATCGAACTACGAACCTGGACTGGCACACTACCCTATGTATTTTTCCACATAGCTATTAAATTCATTATAGATTTTCATAATTAGATAATTATTGATGTCTGTTTTTATTTTAAATCTGATATTTCCTCTGCTCACATCCACTGTTTGTAATTGACGACTGTATTCCACATGCAGTGGGAAACTTATTTGTATACTATAAAACAATTACATATAAAAATATGAATAAATATCTTTAAGTTTTAATGATTACACATTGTTAATAAATTTTGGATTAAACGATATGTATAAATATTTTTATTTCAAATAAAGAATATATTTAAAGTAAATAACATAATAATAAAGATGGATAATTATGAAGATCGATGGGGTCGATTTGTAAAAAGTTGTAGGGGACCAATCAGTGTCATAAACACGTCAATCAGCCTTACAGTCTGTTTTTTCGTAACACATTTTTAATATCAGATATGATTAAGTGACGACGGAGTTTGTAAAATGGCTCCATCTAGAAGGAGGTATTTGAGCCCAGTTTTGGAATGTCTGAGCCTCGAATCCCCTTTCAAAGTTTATGCGAGGAGAAGAAGAAATTACCCTGGGATTCTGACCGTGTATTCTGAGGGTGTGAACAGGGTTCATCGTCCTGCTGCAATCTTAAATGCATTTTTCCTACTAAGTGGGCGTTTGCTCTTTGTTCAGCAACAGGATGTAGCACTCGTTTATCTGCTCGTCAGATAAACAGGCGTAAATGAGAGGATTATATTAAAATAAATCTTGTGTAAAGTTATGCACTGCATTCAAGTGTATTAGAATAGGATAAAATGGCTGCCTCTCGATAAGGAATTTGTTCCCGCCAGTTCGCTATGGATCTGATACGGAGGTATCTAGTACAAATGGTCGCATGGCTCAAAACGAATGCCCCGTGTGACTAACATTCCGGGGGCATACTTTACATGGCAGGGAGTTCCAAAGTACGAGGCGCGTCCTCAAAGTAAGTTTCCCACTCGTCCCACAGCTAGCAAACCTTATATTGCGCGAAGCGACTGTGCGTACGTGATACAGCAATGACGTAGCATGGCGCATGCACTAACGGCACTTCCCGCGTTCTCACAGTAGCATCGTTGCAGCTGTTCAAGATGGAGATTCTTATTCCAGCTCCCGCCGACTGTGAAGTGCGGTCAGTGATAACGCTAGGCCGCACACGACAGGGATTCCAAAGTTGGTCCCACGGTATGACAAATGTCTCAATTCCGGTGGCGAATATGTTGAAAAATAGCTGGACACTTGCTGTATCTGTTGCAATAAATATTTCCATGAAATTGTGTTTTGTTTCTGTAAACGGCCCCAGGGAAACTTACTTTGAGGACGCGCCTCGTATTAATACAAAAGCATATGAACTAAGTTCATAAAGCGAGTTCTTTCTTAATCGACGGACATTCTGTCGTAAGTTTGCCGGGTACCAAAGCGATGACGGAATGACGAAAAACTTACTTTCGACATTATTAAAACGGACAAGCAAGATACTGTTCGCGACTGTAATCTTGAGACTTGCAAGGAATGCAGGAAGTCCGAAGGGTTAAAGGTTGACGCTATCATTCCTCCTCACCCCCACAAGTCTCAAGATTACAGTCGCGGACTATAGTTTCTGCTCTCAGCACCACGCCCTGAAGACGTACTAGGAAGTGGAGGTTGGATTTCAGTTTTAGATCTACGGCATTTGATGGAGGTGAGTAGTTAGCTACACGCTCCGGCCGCTTTTTTACCAGATTGCTGTTGAGAATAAGCGGGCCCTAAAGACGGTCTGGATATTGCGATGAAGGAAAAATGAACAAACAGGTTTATTATGTACTGCCAAGTGTTACAGATATTAAAATTTTAATATTTTCTGTTTCACATTGCACGTCCAATGACAGATTGTGATCGGATACAAGGAAGGCAACAGGTTAGCATTGCTTGTAAATGTTTCAACCTTCTGTTTAGGGGGGTGTCGGGTGAGAGAAAACAAGATTAACTTCGAAATCAATACGTTCCTGAGGGCTCGCAATTGAATGGTCTCGCGAGCCGATATTCGTCGCGACCCACATGGTGTAGCAGATCATTATGATGTCATGCGTGTTGCGTAATTGCTGACTGCAGTTGAAATATACCAATGGAGTACAAATACAAGAAGGCTAATGGTACTGGAGGAGGGGACAGACCTGATACTTGCCAGACGGGTAAAGTGTGTCACAGAACATGTGTCGACAGAAAACATTCTCTCAACATGGAAGGACGGCGAGCTGCCAAGGTCTTGGTTCGCCCGAAACTACACTGACGTTACCTGCGTTTAGGTGACGATCGGTACTTCACAAATTCTTACACGCCAACCATGATAATATTTTTTAACTCATTTGATAGCAGGGATACAAACAGTTGCAGTTAAAATTCGTCGTTAAAAACCCAGTTTCGAAGAAAAAAACAGCTTCCATCATCAGTACGATGTTGATGGCCCTCATGATGGAGGCACCAATGACGCTCTCAAACATCTGCCAGACTATACAACTCCAAAACCGATAAAACAGCAAACTCTGTTCCCACCGCCGTGAGAACCTTATATCCTTTTAAATATATTTTGTGATGAGTACTCACCGTCTGCTTCGTCTAAGGAAGGCCGCAAAAACTTCGTGTGCCACTGATTATTTCTGCATCAACACGCGTGCTACGTCTTAGTTGAATTGCTGTCTTGACAGCCAATGTTATTACTGTGAATAATACAACCTAATTGCTATTAAGTAGTCAGGACGGGGCGGTACTTGTTGGCATTGGTTAGTAAGTCCTCGGCGCGAGGTAAACGAAAGAAATAAGTCGCGCTGTTTGGCAGCGAAGACTGGTTTTCACGACCTTCTGATAACGCGAGACGCTGTTCACTGAAACGTTTGTATTCTAGTGCAGATAAGTACTAAATTGGATCGTCAGTTTGTGGTGGTGTGTGCCGTGTGTAGTAGTGTGGTGTGCGCCCACTAATGTGTCTGGTAAGTTGCGCCATTGTGATTAGAAAATGTCGATCCGTCTTTCCCCATCGCCAGTTATCACGTCAGCGTGAATTTCTTGCAAACTAAACAGATGGGATATTGTGTCACGCCGATATATTTTATGAAATAAATGCGATAAAACGTGATTCAGTATTTTTTATCAAAGTAACATGCATTATTATGTCTGTCTTTCTGTTCAACCGCAAGATTACGTGATTAGATTTGCGGAGATAAACTTGGATATGATCACATTCTTCAACACCAACTCGTTTTTGTAAAAGTAAAAAAGTTACTCAGGCGGTGGAATAAATTACTAATATTTTTATTATAGGTGTGTCTGAACATCTATAAGGTGTGTCCCAGGCGATGTAAAGAATCCATAATTATTTAACCCTTTAAAACCCAGTGGTAATTATATGAACCACCTTTTTTAAAAACAGGAGGTTCTCAAACCATCGCCCGTGGGCGCGACTGCCAATGTGTTTTGTACGGAAAACCATGATTAGATTAGATGCCTGATATCAGTAATCACGACAGGCATAAATATTACATTGCCAATGATGGCTGATTATGTTAAAGACAAGAATTTAGTAATAATATCAATAAATAAATGTAAACCTGTTTCCAATAGCAGCCCGAATTTAGTAGTACTTTTAACAAACTGCCATAGCGAATCAATTAATTGTCCCATTTTATAAATAGAGGCCTGCAAACCGCTGAGAACCTTCGATTTATATTAAGCTTCCTTCCATGTATTTAATATTTAAAAGTTATTATACTTCGTTTTGCTACATTATGAAAAACTGAGTATTTAATTTATTTACGATATACCAGTATGTTAAATGGAGTAACGGATTAAAGAACTGTAAGGAACAAATTAAAGGGCGCAATGCAACTTGTAGAGCTGATAAAGCATCGTTTAATTAAGGAAGAAAAGACGGCGTTTCAGAGAATTTCAGTAAGGCACTGCTTCTTTGAAAGAGATGGTGTTTCTAGACGAATCAATCGTGTTATTTACATTTGCTTCGCGTGCCATGTTGACGTCATGATAATTAATGCTATCCAAACAGAACGAAAACGAAACACTTGCTGTGGTACTGACACACAACACCGCAGTTGTTTGAACAGAACGCGCTGCCAGCAATTCTGGCAAGTAATTCAACTTTTATGCCACTGAAAATGGAGGCAGTATGTTCCCCCCCCAAAACGTTGGTAGGCGTATCTGCCTACACACGGCATTACGTCCCAGAAGACCAACATAAACATCTCAAATCTTGAATATTGCCATCGTCTCAGATATAAAAATATAACGACATATCTGCCTCTCAAAATCCGTATGAAAGTCTTAATGGAGCCTGGAAGTGAAGCGTATGTATGTTCCTTGGGAACAGAGTTTGCTGTTTTATCGGTTTTGGAGTTGTATAGTCTGGCAGATGTTTGAGAGCGTCATTGGTGCCTCCATCATGAGGGCCATCAACATCGTACTGATGATGGAAGCTGTTTTTTTCTTCGAAACTTTGGTGTCTACCTGCGAGTCTACACGGCGTCACAACCCTGAAAAACATCGTCATATTGGGTTTTTAACGACGAATTTTAACTGCAACGGTTTGTACATATTTCGATAATTTCGTCACAAGCGGAGAGAGAATTTTACACGGAGTCAAATTTTCATGGGCAGTGAACGGGACACATAATCGCACAGAGCTGACGGAATCTCTGCCCTTATGCGACACTCAGGCTCTAAGACGCAGTTGAATGTAGCGTGTATACGGCGACTGAAAAGCCGATAACGAAGGTCTCTGCTCTGCGGAAAGAAATTTCAAGTAGAGGAAGTATTTGACCTCCGGGTCAAATATTAATTTATTCACATTTCACGTCACTTAATGAATTATTTATGTGTTTACGCAGCATTTTTTTTGTCTTATTATAACCTGTTTGAACTGTGAGTGTGCTAATATTTTCCATCCAATAGGCGATTAAGTGGCGGAGAGGGAAAGTTTAGGTATAAGTTTTATCGTCACCTTGCCTGGCAACAAATCGTTACTTCATGAAGTCGCCACATGCATTGTTTTGTCAAGCAAGTTATTCACACAAAAATTTCACTATTGGAATCTATCCTGAACTAGTTTTTATCCTTACAAGCCAATTCTCGAAAACCCTTTTTAATATTATACCCTAGACTCCTCCTCGATCCTCCAAAGGACCCCCACACCAACATTCTACACATGTTTATCCATGTCTGTTACAGGAAAACCCTAACGAAAGTGAGTGGGTGACAGTTCTGTCCTGAATTTGGAAATCTCAGCGCAGAAACAAGGTATCATGACTAAGGAATTTCGTTACATTCCTCAGTTCTCCCACTGATGAAGTGGAATTGCACTGGTGCTTTACCATCCAAATTAATCACCGCCCCCATCATTAGACGACAAGCAGTTGAGAATGTGTCACAGTGTGGCAGCCCTGCATCTGATTACAGAGTTTTCTCAAGTGTCTTATGCTGAGGAATCTTAACCTCGTCTCGCCCTTAACCCCTCAAGTCAGCTGGAGCGGTTCTCTACTTCTGGCTTCCACCTCCTGAAACAGTTTTGCCCGTCCTCGTTGGATTGCAGGCTACCAGAAGGGGCTAAGTTTTGGCCGTCAACAGTAACGCTTTTATTTTATTTTCATTCAGATCAAACTTCCTTATAAACACGCATTTTGAAAGACCGAGTAGCAGACTGGAGAATAATATTAAAATGGTTCTAAGAAGAACAAGGTGAAAGGACATGATTCTGAATGACTTCCAAGGGGAAAATAGGTTGTTACCACACTTTCTTTACTGAGTCATCCACAGTGCATAAGCTTCTTT